TAGATGTGCAGCCAAGAATAACTTACCCAGCAAAGCTGAGTGTAATCCTACAAGAGAAAGACGAATATTTCATGAATTAAAGGACATCCAGACATTCTTGAGGAACAGACCAGAGCTGAACAGAAAGTGTGATTTTCACACTTTCACACACAAGTATCAGGAGAAAATAGGAAAGTAAACCTGAAAGATTGATCATAAGGAATTTAATATGTAGTTAAGCTATTTATTGTGTTAATGGAAAAATAACTGTAATTTTTTTTTTGCTTTTTTTTTGGTGAGGCAGTCAGAGTTAAGTGACTTGCCCAGGGTCACACAGCTAGTAAGTGTTTAGTGTCTAAGGCTGGATTTGAACTCAGGTCCTCCTTGACTCTAGGGCTGGTGCTCTATCCACTGCGCCACCTAGCTGCCCCAATAATTATAACTCTTAAGAATGTTATCATTATTAGGGTAGCTAAAGAGTATCCATAGATAGAAGGCTTGGGTTTGAGTTGATTATGATGTGGTGATCCCAAAAAATAAAACTGGGGAGGGAGAGGTAAAATGGAGCAAATTATTTCATACAAGAGAGGTGTGACTAGAAGGACTTTTACAATGGACAGAGGATGGAGTGGAGGTTGGGCAACGTGGCAACCTTGTTCTCATTGGAGCTGGGTTAAATAGGAGATAACATAGTTTATTTGGATATGAAAGTCTTCTTAAATTATAGAGAAATAGGAGGGCATGGGGGTAGGATAAGGGAAGGGACTGTTATGGTGTGCAGATTCAGGAGGCAGTGTCAGAAGTAAACTAGATTTCTGAGGAGGGATAGGGTAAAAAGAGAGAGAAGGAAAAACAATGGAGTGACATAGGACGCAGGGACATACAAAACTAGTAATTATTACTTTGAATGTGAATGGGATGAACTCATCCATAAAATGGAAAAGGATAGCAGAATGGATCAAAAACCAGGACCCCACAAAATGTTGTTTAGAAGAAACACATTTAAAAATGAGAGACACACATAGAGTAAAAATAAAAGTCTGGGGGCAGCTAGGTGGCGCAGTGGATAGAGCACCGGCCCTGAAGTCAGGAGGACCTGAGGTCAAATGCGGCCTCAGACCAAACACTTGACACTTACTAGCTGTGTGACCCTGGGCAAGTCACTTAACCCCAGTTGCCTAAAAAAAAAAAAAGTCTGGAGTAGAATTTATTATGCTTCAGCTGATGTAAAAAAAGCAGGGGTAATAATCATGAGCTCAGACAAAGTGAAAGCTAAAATAGTTTTAATTAAAAGTGATAATCAGGAAAACTACATTATGTTAAAAAAAGTACCTTAGATAATGAAGTAATGTTAGTACTAAACATATATGCACCACATACAATAGCATCCAGATTTATAAAGGAAAAAGTAAATGAATTATAGGTGAAAAGAGATAGCAAAACCATAACAGTGGGGAACCAACTTTTCACCCCTTGGAACTGGGTAAGTCTAACCAAAAAATACATAAGGAAGAAGTAAGGAGATGAAAAGAATCTTAGACAATAAGGTAGATATGATAGACATCTGGAGAGAACTGAATGGGGATAGAAAAACAATGTGCCATTTTCTCAGCAGTATGTGGAATCTTTACAAAAACCAACCTTATATTAGGGCATAAAAATATTATAGTCAAATGTAGAAAAGCAGAAATATTAAATATATCCTTTTCAGATCATAATTCAATAAAAATTAATACATAATAATAAATAAAATAAATAATAATAAAGGACCATGAAAACAGATTAAAAATTAATTGGAAACAATCTAATCTTAAAGAATTTGTGGGTCAAAGATCAAATCATAGAAACACTAAATAAATTTATTAAAGAGAATGATAATGAGACAACATACTAAAACTTATGGGATACAGCAAAAGCAGTAATCAGAGGAAAATGTATATTTTAAATGTTTATATAAATAAAATAGAGAAAGAGCAGATCAGTGAGTTGGATATGCAATTTTAAAAACAAAAAAAAAATCCCCAATTAAACATCAAATTGGAAGTCCTGAAAATTAAAGATGAAATTAATAAAAGTGAATATTAGAAAACTATTGACTTAGTAAATAAAACTAGGAGTTTGTTTTACAAAAAAGAAAAAACAATGAAACAGATGAACCATTGGTTAATATGATTTTTAAAAAGAGAGAAGAAAACAAAATCAGTAGTCTCAAAAACTAAAAGAGTGAATACACTACTAATGAAGATGATATTAAAGCAATTATTGCCCAATTATATGCCAATAAATTTAATAATCTAAATGAAAGAGAATACTTACAAAAACATAAACTGCCCAGATTAACAGAAGATGAAATAGAATATCTAAATAAACATGTTTTATAGTTTGTTTGTTTTTTTTGCTTTGTTGGTGATGCAATTGAGGTTAAGTGACTTGCCCAGGGTCACACAGCTAATAAGTGTCAAGCATCTGAGGTCACATTTGAACTTAGGTTCTCCTGACTCCAAGTCCAGAGCACTATCTACTGTGCCACCCAGCCACCCCTAATAAATCTATTTTAGAAAAAGAAATTGAGTAGGCCATAAATGAGCTTCCTAAGAAAAAACATCAGGACCAGATGGAATTACAAGTGAATTCTACCAAACATTTAAATATCAACTCATTCTAATATTAAGTAAATCATTTGGAATAATAGGCAAAGAAGAAGTCCTACCAAACTTCTTTTAGAAACAAATATGCTGTTGACACCTAAATGAGGAAGAGCAGAAATGGAGAAACAAAATTATAGACCAATTTCACTAATGAAAATTGATGCAAAAATCATAAATATAATACTTAGCTAGGAGACTCGCGCAATGTATCCAAAGATATATTTATAAAAGGGATGCAAGGCTGGTCCACTATTAGGAAAACTATTAACATGATTATATCAATAACACAAGCAACAAAAATCATATGTTTGAGAAAAACTGTGGTATAGGAAAGAGAAAATAGTGAATTTTGAATTCAGGGAGCAGAGCATAGGGCTGGCACAGCGGCCCGAGAAAGCAGGGACTTCGGGGATAGAAGCTCAGGCTTAAGTGCTCTCTCTGCCCAAAGCAGATGCTGCGTAATTTCTTGCTGTACTGTACTATGATACACTATCATATAATGCCGTTTTTTAAAATGCGGAGGACCCAGTGAGAACCTTCCCCTGATGCTTCTCATCAACCAGGAAGGAGCTTGCTGCTGTGTGGCAATGACAGGCGTAATGGAGGGAGGCTCGCCCTCCTCTGCGCTTTGTGATGACAAGGAAAGATGGGCCAGAAGCTTGGGTGATGGGAAGTGCCAATACTGTCTGGATTTCCCAGGAAGAAAAGAGAATGGGTGTCTGTCCGTAAGCTCTGGGAATGGTAAATTTGTTCTCATCCCTGCACCGTCTAGGACGTGTCACCAAAGGGTTGACTGGTGAATCTCACAGTGGTCCACAGAGCACGCGTGGCTTCTTCATGAACGGCTCATGCCCGACTCACCGTATTTGCTCTTTTGACAAGGTTTAAGGGTGGTAGACAAACGCATGAATGAATGAATTAAAAAGCATGTGTTCAGCACTTATGTTTGTCTTGCACTGTGAGAAGTAGAAAGTGGAGATGGCCTCTGCTCTCAAGGAGGACAGATTCTGATTAGGGGAGACAACGGGCATAAGAAGATGGAGCTGATTATGCTACAGACGATGATCCTTGGAGCACAGCGCCCAGAAGGGTGAAGGAGGATGACCAGGCTTTGTGGTCATGCCGTGCTCAGCATCTCGATTGTGAAGGGGTCAGCAAAAGGCTCTTTCCTCATGGGCTTCGCGTCCTGCCTATGCTTGCCTCGCCCCTGCTCCTGCCCTTCCCATGTTGGGTAGGTGGGCTGTTCTGACCACAGCTGCTACCAAGGCTGAGCCGTTGCCTCCCTCAGCCGGGGAGAACGAGGCCGCCAGACAGGCGGCAGAGGTGGGCCAGGGTTGCAGCCTGGTGTCAGAGGACCTGGGTGTGAATCCAGACTGATGCTCACAAGCTGGTGACATGTCACACGACCTCCTAGACATTACTTTCTTCATCTATAAAAGGAGGAAATTCCACGCTGTCCTCGTGGGAAAGATGAGGAGGTGTGGGTTAGAAGATAGTAAAGCTGCAGAGATTTGTCCAATTGGTTTAATGACTGGACCCAAATCTTGGTTATTACTGAAACACAAGGTGAGGACGGCAGGCCCTGGGCAAGGACTGTCCTGGAGCTCTCTTTGAGCCTGGAAATGCAGGCGCACCCTGCCAGTCTTTGCCTTTGTTCTGGCTAGAGCCGGGGTCCCTCTTGGGCCTGGCAGGCCTTGAAGGTGTCCGGTGGCATGCCCCAGGGATCCGTGCTTGGCCCACAGATTGGTGACCAGCTAGCGTCCAAAGAGATAGAAGCTGGATACGGTCCAATAAGATTTAGTAGGTTAAATGTGAAGTCGTACTTTAGGGTCAAAAAGTCAACTTCACACTTAGCAAGATGGAAATTCATAGGCAGATGACTCGAGGATTTTATCCGGTGTCTGGTCTTTGGTCTAGCGCCACCCTCAGACAAGCAACGTGTCCAGCCTGGGCAGAGCACGTCTGCCTGACCAGCTTCGCTCTGGGGAGGATCATGGTGAGCCGCACGTCCAGAGGACGGCAGTCAAGGGCCGTGAACAAAGGCTGGCCGAAGGAAGCAGGCCTTGGTGTTCACTTTTCTCAGGAGCTTTGGGGAGTGGTTGGCTCAGGGGAGGTGAGAGTGCTTTGTTCTGCCTGACCTGGGAGGAGATGCAGGAGCGGAGGGTCGAAGGTCAGGCTGCTTGTAAGCTTCTAAAGCCTGCAGAAGTGGGTTGGGCTGCATCTGGCGGTCTGCGTTCCCCCATGCTGGAGATCTTCTTGTCAGGGCTGGGCGTCCACCACGTACGTGAGGGGATTTTTGCTCAGGTTCAGGCTGGACCTGGTGACCTCTTAGGTTCCTTCTAATTCTGCATTTCTGTGATTCCTTCAAATTAGATACAGAAGATGGGGAAGCTGGGGCTCCTGGCTATGGATGTGCCTGAGGAATTCAGGGGTGCTGGACTTGACTACTTGGCCTATGCTATTGCTTTGGAGGAGATCAGCCGGGGTTGTGCATCCACTGGAGTCATCATGAGTGTCAACAATGTAAGTGGTGCCCCTCTGGGCCCCCTGGCCTCTTGGTGGGCTTGGGAGAGGAGGCCAGTCCCAGTTCTGCAGAGCAGCCTGGCCACACAGGCTTCTGACCCCCTGGAGCCCAGGGAGGGGCAGGGGCAGAGGCAGAGACAGGCAAGCCGACGTCCTCTCTCTCCCATTCCTCAGTCTCTCTATTTAGGGCCAATCCTTAAGTTTGGATCCAAGGAACAGAAGCAGCAGTGGATCTCACCCTTTACCAGTGGTGACAAAATTGGCTGCTTTGCTCTCAGTGAACCAGGTACTGGGCAGGGTCTGGGAGACCTTCTGCTTGTAACCTTATACATTTAGCCCCAGAACGTTGAAGAAAAGGCCCCACCATGTCCAGGGACGCCTAAGAAGCCAGTAGGAATTTTGGGGAGGGCGGCTGCAGGCTGAACTGCGTTGTGTGACTTCCGAGGGGCAGAGACTCACCCTGTGCCGCCCCTCTGATGAGGAGGCCAGGGGGCTTGGTGGCAGACCCTGGGGGGAGGGGGCAGGGCGGGCGTCACATCCTGACTCCTGCAGGACCTTCTCTTCCCACCTGACTTTTCCCCAGCAAAGCTCTGAAGTGATGCTGGTCAGGGCTGGGGGTCACCCCCTGCAGGGGGCGCGATTTAGAATGATTTAGGGGCTGGCAGAGCCTTTGTCTGTCCAGCCCTGAATCTCCTTGTGGGGCAGGGAATGGCAGTGATGCTGGGGCCGCTTCCACCACCGCGAGACTGGAGGGGGATTCGTGGGTCCTGAACGGCACCAAAGCCTGGATCACCAACGCCTGGGAAGCCTCGGCTGCCGTGGTCTTTGCCACCAGTGACAAGCCCTTGAAACACAAGGTGAGGACGGCAGGCCCCGGGCACAGACTGTCCTGGAACTCTCTTTGAGCCTGGAAATGCAGGCTCACCCTGCCAGTCTTTGCCTTTGTTCTGGCTAGAGCCGGGGTCCCTCTTGGGCCTGGCACAATTGTCCTTGGCTTGGACAAACGGGTGGAGGCTGGAAATAGCCTTGTGTGTGCTCCTAGGGCATCACGGCCTTCCTGGTTCCCATGCCGACGCCTGGGCTCTCCCTGGGGAAGAAGGAAGACAAGCTGGGTATCCGAGCCTCCTCCACAGCCAACCTCATCTTTGAGAACTGTCGCATTCCCAAGGAAAACATGCTGGGGGAGATGGGCATGGGTTTCAAGATCGCCATGGTGAGCCTGGGGAGGGGTTTCTGGTTGGTCCTGCCTGTGCTGGGGTGGAGACGGAGATGGGGAGACCAGTGGAACTAACTCCGGGGGCCATCCCAACAGCAAACCCTGGACATGGGCCGGATCGGCATCGCCGCCCAGGCCCTGGGCATCGCCCAAGCTTCCTTGGACTGTGCCGTGGACTACGCTGAGAAGCGCATGGCCTTTGGCTCCCCTCTCACCAAGCTGCAGAACATCCAGGTAATGGGCACAGGCTGAGGTTTGCCTGGGCTTGGACAGCAGTCTGCTAACCCCGTGGGCATGCGGGGGGAGGTCGGACAGCCGGCTCTGGGAAAGGAGAGGGCCCTCATGTGCTCGGCATCTGCCTGTGTTTCAGTTCAAGTTGGCAGACATGGCCCTGGCCCTGGAGAGTGCCCGGCTGCTGACCTGGCAGGCTGCCATGCTCAAGGATAACCGGAAGCCCTTCACCAAGGTGCTCGGCTTTGTTTTCTGGGAGGGAAAGGCCCTGTAATTCTGGGTAAGATTGTGCCCAGGGTCCTAGGGAGGGTCCTCGATAGAGGGAGTCAGTGAGAGGTCAGTGGCCTCGGCACGGACTCTGCTGGGGAGTCAGCTGCGGGGAGCCGGGCGCGCCTCACTCAGGGTTGTGTCTCCCCGGTTAGGAGTCTGCGATGGCCAAACTGGCAGCGTCCGAGGCCGCCACGAGGATCTCCCACCAGGTGAGCGAGCTTCCTGGCAGGGAGAGGCCCATCTGCCCGGGTCCTCATTCCTCAGTGACTCCAAAGGCTCCTGCCTTCTCTTTCAGGCCATTCAGATCCTGGGTGGGATGGGCTACGTGACCGAGATGCCGGCCGAGCGCCATTACCGGGACGCCCGGATCACCGAGATCTACGAGGGCACCAGTGAGATCCAGCGGCTGGTGATTGCTGGACAGCTGCTGAAGAGCTACCGGAACTGAGCGGCTGGGGAGGGCGTGGCTGCCGGGGCCCTGCCCAGCCTCGCCCACTGTCGTGGGGTGGGTGGGCTCTCTCACTTAGGCAGGGCTTCCTCCAGAGCTGGGCTGCCCCGGCAGGACCTACGCCCGGCTCTGGACCGACCCTTTGGGGAAGAAAGAGGACTTTTGTCAGCTTGGATCTTGTGGACGTTGACCCACTGCCTTGGGGCTCCTTATCCCAAATTTGCCCGACTGCTGTGATAGCAAACCTCAGGGAAGAATGTGGCTGCTGCAGGCCACCTCTGTAAGGGAGGCTTCTCCCCAAGCCCATGGTGCCTCAGTTTCCCCATCTGTAAAAAATATTGCATCCAGCACATCCTTTTTTTGTGGAAGGTCTGGAGAAGTACTCAGCACCTTGTTCTTGTCCACTTCTTTGTCCCTGGGCCCTCTGGGGCCCCAAAGAGCTTGCAGACATCGATCCCACCAGTGCTGAGGTGGAGCAGGCTCCTTGGAGCTCCCAGGGTTGGGAGGTGAACCAAGAGGAACACTGGTCCAACCAATGGCCATTGAGTGCCGAGCAGAGGAGAAGGGAGGAAGGAGACCCTGGGGAGGGAGTCCAGCCCCAGGCAGCCTGGGCCACACCTGGGCATTCCAGGTTCTTTTGAAATCATGTGACTTTGGAAGCAAATGGCAAAATAAACATGCCACTCACCCAGCTGTAGCTTTAAAAAAAAAATTAAATTTTATTTCAAACAAAGACCTGCCTTCTTTGCCTTCTGCCTTCCCCTCCCCTGCTCCACACACACCCTGAGAAAGCAAGAAAAACAAAACTCCCGTTACAGAAAGACTGATTCCCACAAAAGCTGTGCCCCTCTGCCCCGCCGAGGCCGTCCCCTCTGCCTGGAGGATGGTTGGAGGATGGACGGCGCCTGCTTCAGCCAGGTCCTCGGGAATCATGGGCCGCTCTCAGAGGCATGTGTCTTCACGCTGCCTCCGTGCACAATCTCCCCAGATTTCTCTGAAGTCATCTCCATCACCCTCATCTCCATCCCTGCCTCAGCTCTCCCCCATGGTGGCCGGCCCTTGCCTGGGGACCGTCTCTCACCCTAGCAGGGTATGGAGAAGCCAGCCAGTGAGCGCCAGGGAGCCCGGGTCACACTTACAAAGCGCTTCACAAATATCACATTTAATCCAGAGGGCCAGATGCTGTCATTTTGTCTTCTTTTACAGATGAAGCAACTGAGGCGGACAGAGGTTAAGTGACTTGCCTAAGGTCACACAACTAGTGAGTTGACCGGCAGGTGTCCCTGCCTCCAGGCCCGACACTCCTTCCACTGTTCCACCTTTGGCCCGGGCTGCACCTTGGAGCAGGGGTGGGAGGGGTGTTGGCAGGAACAAAGTCTGCCTAGACAGGGAGGCCCGGATTTTGGAAGACTGATGGAGGCGTCATGTCGGGGCAAACTAATGTAGGGCAGATTGGTGGTGTCGGAGTGTTGGGATGATCCTGGCTTAGGTGGTGGTGGAGGAGATCACACAATTATTTCATTAGAGCGATGGGTGGTTCTTTTGTGGAAATTAAATAAAAGTAGGAGATCCCGAAGACGTTACTCCCCTCCCATCCCCTTAGACAACTGATACAGTGGAGGTGAGGACAAGATGGCCGGGGGAGAAAGCCAGGTCAAGCTCCCGGGGAGGCCCCGGTTCCCACACCCCGACAATGATCACCGTTATCCTCCAATGGCTTCCTGACGCCCACCAGCCGGCTTTCTCCAAATAAGGCCTGGGCCCCAACCTGGTGACGCCGGCTGACACCTAGAATGAATGGCCATCTGACTACACCTGAGAGCGTGTCTGGCCAAGGAGATGACGTCGGTAAGCCCTTTTGCAAACCATCAGGCGTTGTATAAATGTCAGCGGCTATTATGGGGCTCACTCTGGACCGGCACAGGTATGGTTAGTACCCTCTCCCCTTCTGCTTGTTGGCAGGTAGGCTGTGAGGAGAGGAGAGAGGGACCCCTTTTGTTATTATGTACCAAGAAAGAAGCTGAGGCTGCCCTGGCCCAACCCCTGACACTCTAAGGAAATGAAAGTGGGCAGGTTTCTGATTAGATACCCACTCCCCTGGGGTATGGCTTCTGGGGGGAGGGGGGAGACAGGGTGCAAAAGAAGGCAAGGTTTGGGTCAGAGCCAGGGGAAAACCTCCCACAGTGGAGGAGATGGATGGCAGGGCCAGCTCTGCACTGAGCCTCGAGCTAGAGAAAGCTGGGCTCAGGAATATGAGGGTCTCACAGTATTGGGGAGATGGGGAACCCCCCATTCCCTCTACTCCACAAGAGAGAGCAGGGGCCTGGGAAATAAACACTGATGTGAGCGCACACGATGCATCATTCTCAGCAGCCTCTGTGCCTTTTGGAGAAGGCTAGATAAACTCAGTCCCCTTGGTTCCGGTCCCTGCCCCTTTCCCAGGCCTGGAACCCCTGGTTTTCTGAAGGTGCAGTGACCAGGACCATGGGGGCTTAAGAGGCAGGGAGGTGGTAAGACAGTCAAAATGCTTGGAAAACGACTCTAACAATTAGGAGAGTGGGGATCCTCAAGCAGTGACTGGGTGAGGTTCCATCTTTGTGAACTTGAGACAAGGAGACAGCCCAGTGAGACCCTCAGGGTTGTCCTGGCTCCCATGGTTACATTCCCAGATGGCCCATCCACTCTTCTCCCAGCATCCCACTTGGCTGGTTCCAAAGGACACCCTGCCGAGTTCTGCTAAATGCCCTGAACACCTTCCTACAGAACTTCCTGGGAGCAGAGGTCCAGCGACCTGAAGAGCAAGGTAGCAAGGTGCCAAGACCCAAACCTAGCCCCAATTCTTTGTGTTCAAGACCAAATCCTCCTGAGACACATGTAGAACTAAGGCTCCCCATTTTTTTTGTCCCCTCCAAAATTCACAGGGTACCTCCTGGGCAAAATCAGTCAATTTGGGAGACAGCCCCCTTTTTCATCTTCAGAGAACACCCTAAGAGTGGGGAAAGCAAGGTGAGAATTTTAACAATGCCCTTTTTAATCATCCTTGCCTATAAGAGAGGAGCTAGGTGAATGAATGCTTTGTGATTTCCGTCTCTACCCTCCCTCCCTGTAGACCAGACTGCCCTGGAATGATTCTCACTAGCTGGAGAGGGTAAATGGTCCATTTTTTCCACGATCTGCCCCATCCTGTGAGGTCGTAGCTTCCCAGTCCATGAGCGACTTGGAAAAATCCCCCGGTATTAGAAAGAGGCCCGCGTGGGTAGGGGAGACCAGCCTAGCCAGAGCCGAGAGGCTGCTTCACGCAGCTGGAGCAGGGGATCCGGGGGCTGCAGCTCTCTGGCATGGTGATGAAACCAGGTCACTGGGGGGCAGACACAGGACCAAGTGTGGTTCGGCCAGGTGGCCTGGGAGTCCGACACTCAGCCCACTTGCCAAAACTTGAAGAAACCAGAGACAAACCTAAGGGAATTTTTGTGGCTTATTCAATTCCTTTTTTTCCCCCTAAAATAGGGTTATTTAAGTATTCTATTTCCTCTTCTGTTAATCTGGGCAATTTATATTTTTATAAATCTACTAAGAGCCAAGAAAGTGCCCAGCAGGCCTTTAGAGTGATTAGGATGGAGTACAGCGTCCTACAGGACCACATCTCACCCCTTCATACATTTTCTGAGGGCTCTCTGAAACCAGGCTTTATGTTTGTTAGAATTCAGTGACGTAAAGAGGAAGCTTGGGTAGGGTGCCCTGTCCAGCGGCGTGTGGTCCCTGGCAGCTCTTTGATTAGCCACTCCTGTGAATGCCTTCCTGGCATGTCATGTACATGGCGTTCCCAGGCATCGCTGGATATTTTGTGTTGACCTTGGAAGCCCAGGCACAGGCGCTCTTAGCTAAGGCTGCCCTCATTATTGGCTGAACAGATGTGAAATCCTGCCCAGCACGGAGGGTGGAATTTAATAGCAGAGGGCCTGGGGTCTCACCTCTGATCTTCCCCGGCGATCCTTCTTAAACGGCTCTTTACCAGCCACCACAGGCCCAAGAAGGCTTCCGCTTTTGGACACTAGAAAAAGCGCTTGTCCTGGTTTTATGGAAAGTGACCCAGGAGCACTCAGAAAGGACACAAAGCTGAGGACCCAGGCTGGTTCCAGTCCTGCCGGGTCGGCCGAGGAGGCTGCTCCTTGGGCAAAAGCAACCCCTGCTCTGTGGGAGAAAGGCTGGGCCTTGGCGGGCACAGCCTTCAGACGTTTCCAGGATCGGCTGGTCTTGACCAATACAAGATGGGAGTCGAGTGGGTGAGGACCTGGGGGGAGACCCAATCCTGCCGTGACTGCCTCTGATGCTTACTGCCTGGGGGACCCTGGATGAGCCACTTAATGTTCCAGGACCTCAGTTTTACCATCTGTAACAGGAAGGGGCTGGACCCAATTGTCTCTTCATCATTGTTTCTAAAATCCAGTGGGATATGGGAATTTTTTTTCCCTTTGGTTCATTAACTGCTATCTTACCACAGCCCCTTTACCCAATCTATTATCTCCACACCCCTTTTCTGGTCATTTCTAGAAAGCCCATCATAGCCACTGGAGATCTCTCAGGAGGAGGCAAGTCTCCCCTCCTAGCCACCCTGAAACCCCCTATTTCTAGCCTCAGTGAAGTCTGTTGTCTCTCAATAGGTCCTATTCATATAGCCTTTTAAAGGTTGCAAAGAGCTTTACAATCCTGGGAGGTAGATGCTATTATTATCTCTACTTTACAGAGGAGGAAACTGAGGCAGACAGGTGAAGTGCTTTGCCTGGTTGCACAGATAGGAGGTCTCTGAAGCCGGATTTGAACTCAGGGTTTCCTGATTCCAGGCCCAAAATACTCTATGGCAGCTGCTTTTTCTTACCAGGAAATATACTCATTGAGGAAAGAGACATCTTCACCAAAGTCTGTCAGCGCTGTAAGTGTGTAGGTGCAACCATCCATTTTCTCCCCAGAGTAATTTTTTTTTTAGGCAACTGGGGTTAAGTGATTTGCCCAGGGTCACACAGCTAGTAAGTGTCAAGTGTTTGGTCTGAGGCCAGATTTGAACTCAGGTCCTCCTGACTTCAGGGCCGGTGCTCTATCCACTGTGCCACCTAGCTGTCCCCCCCCCCCACCCCGAGTCATTTTTCTTCTGTACTTCCCTGTTTCCTCAAGGGCACCACCATCCTTTCGGCCACCCAGATTTACAATCCGGACATCATCCCCATAGACGCTCCCCTCTCCCACCCCACAGATGCAGTTTAGTCTTGTCAGCTCTACCTCGGCCAACTTTCTCACTTCTATTTCCCTCTCCCCACACTCAGGGCCCCCAGGCATGGTGGAGATCCTCATCTGTAAAATGGGTACAATCATAGCCCCTACTTCCCAGGGCTGTTGGGAGGTTCACATGGGATACTGTTTGTAAAACGATTTGCAAACCTTGAAGTGTTCTCTAAGTTTGAGCTATCGTCACCACCTCCCCCACTACTACTGTCACTGTCATCACTTCTTGCCCGATACTCCTGCAGCAGCCTAATTGGTCTTCCATTGTCCAGTGGGGGCCTGATCTCTCTGGGAGGCCCCTTCCTCCACCTCACAGGGAGAGGCCGTGGAGAGAGAGCAGCTTTCGGGGACGTCCAGCCTCAGGACTCTGAATCAGGAGGGCCCTGGTTGATCTGTGCCTCGATGTCCTTTTTAGTGGCGGAGAGGAAGGGCAGAGAAAGGGCTGAATTGGAATGT